CTTATTGTTGTTTGTAATAAGTACAATTGGAGTTCTTGGTGAGTTAAAGTCTTCAATTTCCATAGCAGTTTCTGCTTGTATACTCTCATTAGTGATGTTCTCTTTGTTGCTATTATCAGGAGTTCTAACTGATGAGGCTTCTGTATTTTCTTTTTCTATAACAGAGTTTTCTGAATTCAAATCCTCCATATTAGAGAAGCTATTTTCTGAGGTTATGTCTGTTTGGGAGGTCTCAGGTTCTGTATCTTTAACAGAGGAAGTGGAGTCTTGTTGGTTCATTTCTTCATCATCTAATTCAATATGAATGGTTTTACCTTTCTTTTTGCTAGCAAGAAATTCTTTATGCTGCTAACGAAGCAGTAAGGCTTCTTTGAACTAGGGGCATTCTTTTTTAATATGCCCTTCTTTATCATAGAAGTAACAGAGTTTAGGAGCAGAATGCCATTCTGTAGTAACTTTATTATCGAAAATAACCTCGAAGCATAGAATTCTCTCTTCAAGATCTGAGTCATCAGTGGTCTCGAAGGTGACTATCCATTGGTCTGTCAAATAGGGAGTATCTTCAATTAAGAGAGGTTTAATTAAAATGATATTACCTATATCATCAAAGACCTCTTTAATTTCATCAGAAATATCTTCTTTGTTACCCAAAAGTACATTTCTGATTTTAACTGAGAGGAAGGACCTTCTCATATCAGTTGGAATATAGCCATAATAGGTCTTATTGAATATTTCAATTCCTTTTGTAGCATAATACTTGAGTTTTTCTTCATTAGCAAATATTAGCTCGAGATGAGTACGTATACCTCTACTAATATGTGGCTTAGTAGTGATAATATCACGTGCTGCTGTTTCATAGAAAGAGATCATGATTTCATTCAGAGAGTCATTGAGGTTTTGTATATCCAAAATGAGGGCATTATCATTTTTTGATTTTATACTATTTCTTGAAGAGAAAGAGGTAAAAGTTGATTGACCTCTTTTGACTTTTGCAAATAAACTTGACCACGGTCTTTGCAAAGTTTCATTGTTGTTGTTTGTTGAACTTTTTTTAGGTTCTGTTAGAGATGAGTCATGTAAATCTGGACATATTGTTTTTGTTATTGTTTGAGCCTCAGTATTTTGACTTTCATTACATGTTTTAGAGTTAGACGTGACACTTGTGTTGTTTTTGTTTTATTGTTTTTTTTCTAAACTTTTAGTGCTATTTTCTTGAGTGACTTGTTCATCCCAGCTAGAAGTATTAGCTACACAGGTATTTTGTTGTACTGAGCTAGCTGATGTAGTTTGGTTGCTTGTTGCTTCCATAGTTTCTTTGTTAGAATATAAAACTACTTTATTTTCTAAAAGTTATTCTTTTGACGAAAAACTTCTAGCAAGCTTAATTTTTTTATTTGTTGAAACTTCTGTGAAAGAAGTTTTATGCTTGCTTGGAACTAGGGGAAGAGCCCCTGTTCTATTACCATTTTTAGAGTTAGTGTTGTCTTGTGTAGAGATTATTTTGTCATTTCTAAAAAACCCTCAATCCTAATTTTTGTAGTCAGGAGAGAGAGAGCATCGATCTTTTTATTTTAATTTATTTTTTTTAAAATTTTATAATTTAATTTTTTAATTTTTTTAATTTTTTTTTATTTTTTAAAACTAATTTTTTTTTTTAAATTTTTAAATTTTAATTTTTTTTATTTTTTACTTTTATTTTTTAAAATTTAATTTTTTAATTTTTTTATATTTAATTTTTTTTTAATTTTTTTTTATTTTTAAGATTTAATTTTTTAATTTTTTTATATTTAATTTTTTTTTTTTTTTTTTTTTTTTTTACACAAAGAATCAAGCTTATGATAGTCAAACTCAACATACAGAGCAGACTATGAAATTCTCCGCAACTGTGAAAACTAGATATATGGTAAACGCTTTTACAGAAGACTTACAATTATCCTCAATTACTATCACTTCAACTCCTATTAAGGATTTACCAAATACTTGCTACAATACATTCTTATCATACTACAACTTACCCTTACTACAAAAACCACAAACTCTGAGTTCTTTTATCCAATATCTCTATAATAACAACTTCTCCCAATCTCTTAAAATCTCTATTAATTCTATATACTCTGAAATACATGTTTATATTAACAAAAATAATCTACTTCTTTTGAATCATACTCAACTACTAATTAATAAACAATCTAATTACTATCATTTACCAATTAGATCCACTTCTAATAATATATCTCACTTCAACAATACTATTAACAATTCCTCTATTGAAATCGAATATATATCACTTTCAATCAAAATTGCCTCTATAAATATAAATAGCCTCCTTCAACTAAACAAAAAACTCTCAATAACTGAAGCTCTTGACAATAATACATATGATATTTTAGGTCTTTCTGAAACATATTTATCTATAAAAGAAGGAAAAATCTTTAATAACTAAATTAAAAACTACTAAAGCTTCTGGAGTCCCTTTACTCACTCTTATCAAGTAGGTATAGAAATTTTTGTTCACCAAAAAATCTCTAAATATATTGCTTGTACATATAATTATAAAGGTCATGTAATTAGTCTTGATTTTCATTTCAAAAACTTACTAACAAGACTTCTACAAGTTTATATCCCTATACAGGAAAAAAAACAACTTCACAAAGAAATACAAGAATATATTATTTTTTTACTACAATAGCCAACCTATAAAATTATAATTATAGGAGATTTTAATAGTATTCCAAATGCATGCTTAGACTGATCTTCTCCTAAAAAAATATCTATACCAGAACTTCAACTTACAAAATTCTTAATAAGCCATCAATACAAAGATATCTACTATCATTTCTTTCTAAAAACAAAAAATTTT